TGTCCCAACTAAAAATACAAAAATTAGCTGGGTGTGGTGGTGCGAGTCTGTAGTCCCAGATGCTCGGGAGGCTGAGGCACAAGAATCGCTTGAACTCGGGAAGTGGAGGTTGCAGTGAGCCAAGACTGCACCACTGCACTCCAACCTGGGTGACAGAGCAAGACTCCAACTCAAAAAAACAAATAGCCAATCCAAAATAAGTAATGAAATGAGAGAAAGATGAACATGGTATAAGAAGGAAAATAGAAAGCACACAACAGCAGGGGAGATCTAAATCCAAATATATTAGTGATTAGGCCAGGCAGTGGTTCATGCCTGTAATCTCAGCATTTTGGAAGCCCAAGGCTGGCAGATTGCCAGAGCTCAGGAGTTCAAGACCAGCCTGAGCAATAGGGGGAAACCCTATCTCTACAAAAAGTACAAAATTAGCCAGGCATGGTGGTGCACGCCTGTAGTCCCAGCTGCTTGGAGGGCTGAGGCAGGAAGATCTCTTGGGCCCAGGAGGTCGAGGCTGCAGTGAGCCATGTTCACACCACAACACTTGAGCCTGAATGACAAAGCTGGACCCTGTCTCCCCACCAACAAAAGAAATCAGGAATCACATTAAATATAAATGGACTAAATGGTCCAATTATAAGACAAAGATTGTCAGATAATTTTTTAAATTGTATAGTGTTTACAGAAGATTACATTCAGGATATAAAATGGGCCAGGCACGGTGGTTCACGCCTCTAATCCTAGCACTTTGGGAGGCCAAGGCATGTAGATTCCTTGAGGCCAGGAGTTCAAGACTAGCCTGGCCAACATGATGAAACCCCATATCTACTAAACATTCAAAAATTCGCCAGCCGTGATGGCAGCCGCCTGTAATCACAGCTGCTCAGGAGGCTGAGGCAGGAGAATTGCTTGAATTCTGGAAGTGGTGGTTGCAGTGAGCCAAAATTGCAGAGAGGAAAAAGAAAAAAAGATATAGAATGGATAAAAGTAAAGGTATGGAAAATATATACCATACTAATCCAAAGAAAATTGGACTATCTATATTATTAATTCTCACACAATGTAGAATTTAAAGCAGAAAGCATTACTGGAGATAAAGAAGGCCCTGCCTTAATAACGAGATTTCCAGTTTCCCAGGAAGTTATAATATTATAGAATTATATACACCTAATACCTCAAAATACATGAAGCAAAAAGCAACATATCTACATATAGACAAATTCACAATCATTATGGCAGAATTTAACACACTTCTGGCAATATTTAACAGAACAAGCAGACAAGTCAGTAAGAGTATAAAAGATTCAAACAACACAACCAGCAACTATCACCTAATGGACATATATAGAATACTGAGCTCACAACTGCAAGTGTACATTTTGTTCAAACAAAATTTCAGAAATCAACCATATACTGAGTCAGAAAGCATGTCTTGGCAAATCTCAAATGACTGAAATTAGACAAAGTACACTTTCTAAATACATTGCAAGTAAGGTAAAAAACCAATAACAAAAATGATGAACCAATAACAAAAATGATGATTAGAAAACTCCATGTTTTTTTTTTGGTTGAGATGGATTCTCGCTCTGGCTCCCGGGCTGGAGTGCAGCGGTGCAACCGCGGCTCACTGCAACCTCCACCTCCCTGGTTCCAGTGATTCTCCTGCCTCAGCCTCCCGAGTAGCTGGGATCACAGATGCGTGCCACCATGCCCAGCTAATTTTTGTATTTTTAGTAAAGACGGGGTTTCACCATGTTGGCCAGGCTGGTCTCGAACTCCTGACCTCAGGTAATCCATCTGCCTTGGCCTCCCAAAATGCTGGGATTACAGGTGTGAGCCACTGCAACCAGCCCCATGTATTTGAAAATGCAGACGTACATCTAAATAACCCATGAAAACAACCAAAATAAAATGTTAACATATTTTAATAGAATGATAATAAAAATACTGCATACTGACAGTCACGGGATGAGGTTAAAGCTATGATTCGATTAATATTCATAATTATAATTGCATATATTAGATTATAGGAAAGGTTTAAAATTAATTAACTGAGCAGCCATCTCAAGAAATTAGGAAAAAATCAGAAAATTAAACGAAAAGAAAGAAAGAGAAAAAAAGAATTTAATGCACTAAAAAGCAAATATAAAATATGAAGTATAGATGGCCCCCAACTTACATGGTTCAACTTACGATTTTATGACTCCATTAATCTGAAAGCAATATGCATGCAGTATGCTCCTCAGCTTACATTGGAATCATGTCCAGATAAACATGATTATCTGGAAAATATCTTAAGTTAAAAATACACTTTTATTGGGACACAACTTCATTGTAAATGAAGGAGCATCTGTATCAACAAAATCAACATCTTAAGTTAAAAATACACTTTTATTGGGACACAACTTCATTGTAAATGAAGGAGCATCTGTATCAACAAAATCAAAATCTGCATTTTTTTGGAAAGAGAAATAAAATTGATTGAAAACCCTAGCAAAGGCTGGGCGCTGTGGCTCATCCCTGTAATCTCAGCTACTTGGGAGGCTGAGGCAGGAGAATTGCTTGAACCCAGGAGGTGGAAGTTGTGGTGAGCCAAGATCGGGCCGTTGCACTCCAGTCTGGGCAACAAGAGCAAAACTCTGTCTCAAAAGAAAAAAAACCCTAGCAAAGCCAGGCATGGTGGCTCATGCTTGTAATCCCAGGACTTTGGGAGGCCAAGGTGGGAGGATTGCTTGAGGCCATGTGCTCAAGACCAGCCTGGGTCTTGAGAAACATAGTGAGACCTGTTTCTACAAACAAAAACAAACAAAAACTAGCAAGATTTATCAAGGGGAAAACAGAAAGAAAAAGAAGATTAAAACAATCAGTGTCAGGCATGATAAAGAGACATCACAACAGACCCACCTTTATGAAAGATCATAAGAAGGTATTATGAATAGTTTTATGCCAAAACATTTTGCAAATTTAGATAAATTGTTGAATCCCTTAAAAAGAAAATGTATCAAAAACTAACACAAGAAAGTATGTAAATCTTAACTAAGCCAATAACTAATTCAATAAACTGGATTGATAATTTAAACCCTTCCACAGGGAAAACTCCAGGCTTGGAGTAATGACCTCAGAAATACACATATGCTTCCACCTGCACACAAGCAGGATGATGATCATAGCGGCATCATTTGTAATAGCCCTAGACTGGAAACAACCTAAATGTCCATCAAGAGTAGAACAGATAAACAAACTGTGCCACATTTTTTAATATAACAGTATCCGTTGATTAAAAACTGCAAACTACACCTATACCATTGATAAAAAACAAACTACACCTAACAACCTGGATGATTTTTACAAGTATAATGTTGAGTAAAAAGAGGGGCACATGGAAGAACGCACACTGTTTAGTTACATTTATCTAAAGTTGAAAAAACAGGATTTAGCATTGAAATGCTAAAGTTTAGTTTAGCAGAAAAACTAAACTTTGGCATTTAAAGAGACTTTTTTCCCTTTTTTAAAGATTTTATTTTATTTTTATTTTTATTATTTTTTAGACAGAGTCTCACTCTGTCACTCAGGCTGGAGTGCAGTGGCGCGATCTCAGCTCACTACAACCTCCGCTTCCTGGGTTCAAGCTATTCTTCTGCCTTAGCCTCCTGAGTAGCTGGGACTACAGGCACGCGCCCCCATGCTCAGCTAATTTTTGTATTTTTAGTAGAGAGGGGGTTTCACCATGTTGGCCAGGCTGGTCTTGAACTCCAGACCTTATGATCCACCCGCCTTGGTCTCCCAAAGTGCTGGGATTACAGGCGTGAGCCACTGCACCTGGCCTAAGATTTTATTTTTTGAGAGCAGTTTTAGGTTACATCAAAATGGAACAGAAGGTACAGAGATATCTCATATACCTCCTGCCCCCACATAAGCACAGCCTTTCCCACTATCAGCATCCCCCATCTAACTGGTTTGTTTGTTGCAATCCATAAGCCTGCAATGACACATCAGTACTCCCCAGGATCCATAGTTCACATTAGGGTTCTCTGATGGTCTTGTACATTCTATACGTTTTGACAAACGTATGACAGGTGTCCATCGTGATAGCATCATACAGAGTAGTTCACTGCCCTAAAAACCTTCTGTGCTGTACCGATTGATCCCTCCCTCCCCCTAACCTCTAGCAGTTACTGATCCTTTCACTGCCTCTGCAGTTTTGCCTTTTCCAGCATGTCATAGAGTTGGACTCATACAGCATATAGTCCTTTCAGACTGTCTTCTTTCATTCAGTGATTTGCACTTAAGGTTCTTCCATACCATGTCATGGCTTGACAGCTCATTTCTTCTGAGGACTGAATAATGCTGCATTGCCCGATGTATCAGTTTATTATCTACTCACCTACTAAAGGACATCTTGGTTGCTTCCAAGTTTTTGCAGTTATAAATAAAGCTGCTGTGAACATCTGTTTATATATATTTTTTGGTGGTAAAGATAAGCAAAGGTGCTTTACATAAAAAGTCAGGATAGGCCGGGCGCGGTGGCTCAAGCCTGTAATCCCAGCACTTTGGGAGGCCGAGGCGGGTGGATCACGAGGTCAAGAGATCGAGACCATCCCGGTCAACATGGTGAAACCCCGTCTCTACTAAAAATACAAAAAATTAGCTGGGCATGGTGGCGCGTGCCTGTAATCCCAGCTACTCGGGAGGCTGAGGCAGGAGAATTGCCTGAACCCAGGAGGCGGAGGTTGCGGTGAGCCGAGATCGCGCCATTGCACTCCAGCCTGGGTAACAAGAGCGAAACTCCGTCTCAAAAAAAAAAAAAAAAAAAAAAAAAAAGTCAGGATAATGGTCGCCTCTGACAGGGAGGGAGGATAGACGTGGGCAGGGGGAAGAAGGAGTAAATCCAGGGTGAGGGCAGAGTTCTGTTTCTCAACCAGGCTGATAATGACAGTGGTGCTGACTTTGTGATAAATCACTGAACTGTTTATCTCTGTTTTTGTTTTTGGGGTTTGTTTTGTTTTGTTTTAGAGACAGAGTTTCACTCTTGTCGCCCAGGCTGGAGTGCAATGGCATGATCTGGGCTCACTGCAACCTCTGCCTCCCGGGTTCAATCGATTCTCCTGCCTCGGCCTCCCGTTTCTGTAGGTGCATTCTATTTTACAATTTTTAAAACTGATGAGAAAAAGAAAAAGGGAGTCAGAAAGGAGAGAAGGAGGAAGTAATGGAGGGAGAGCAGAGACCTTAGAAGCCGAAAGGCAAAAAGCTGAGGCGTTGAATCACATGTTATGTGGCCTCAATCTTTTCAATAATGTATGAGGCGCGGTCTCCCAGAGAGATCAAGGGTCTGAAAGGTCTGGACAAGACTTGCAACAACCGCATTAGAAATGTGGCGGGCCAGGAATCCACTACAGATCACGAAAGGACTGCTGAATAAACTCTACTGAGCACGGGCTGCAAACTCAGATGTCGGGGGGAACAGGCAGGCATCTCACGAATCAGGTTGTCTGGGGAGTGGGAGGAAGCAAGCCCATGGATCAGTGACATCTAATTCTCAGTTCCGGGTCCAGGAAGACACTCTGTTGTTGCAGACATCATGTGTGCCCTATGTCAGAGAAGCTGCTGCCTCTCAGCTCCAGGCAGTGATCATTCCAGAGTGGGAAAAGACCAGGCACCACCAGCTCTCAGTTCCGTCTGCTAGTGCAGCTAAAACTCGGGATTTTCCGGTGATGTCCTGTTTCTTCAATGCTCATAACTAAATCAAATTGTTTTAAATATCATTCGGGCCACACAAACCCCATTTGATGTTCCTGATAAGGTCTGTGAGGTCCGAGACCCCTGGGTGAACCAGTCAGATCACCGTGGAACAAGTCGCCTCGGGGGCTGGCTGTCTCCAGCCACTCTGAGTAGCTGTGCAGCCAGCTAGTCTCCGATTTGGGCTGTGATGAGTCTGGATGGCAGAAGAATAAGAGGGATGGGAAATTGAGGGAGGGCCTCATTGAAAGGGCTCACTCCAGGAGCCAGAAAGCCAGAAGACCCAGAGCTACAGTGAGATCAGAGGCGCACAGTCCCCATGAGGACAAAGAGCCCAGCTAGGAGAATGGGAGAGGTAGTAAGAGTCAGAAGGAGTTTCAGAATCTAAGCGCTCCAAAAATAAACCTTTCCCTTTGTATCACTTTTCTCTTTTTACTTTAGTTGCTCTCAACTTGCTGCTTCCTTTTTAAAAAAATTCTAGCAATTCTGCAGAAAACCAGAAGGGCGAAGCAAACACAGTACTCTAAGTGTTACGGCGCTGTCCTGCTCACTTCCTTTTGGCCTACTGGCTTCAAAGGTAGGCACACACACGTCCCTTTTCTAATGATCTGGTGACGGACTCAGGCTCAGTAAGCCAAGGCCACAAGCAACAGGGCTTGGGTTCCATCTGCCCCGGCCCCTTGCGCTGCCTTCCAGGAAGTGCTGGAACAGCAGAAGCAGCTAGCGGTTTGCTCAAGAAGTGGTCAGCAGCGGGGAGCAGCTGGAGAGGGCAGGCCAGTGAGCAAACATCCGTTTGGAAATCGGGTTTGGGCTGAACAAAGTTCACTGTTGTTTTCCAAGAAAGCAGAGCCTGGTTGAGCCACCCTAGGGAATAAGGAGAGGGGCAACTTGAACTGAGTATTGGTTCCAAACTTCTGCAGCCAGATACGCTTGGCCACCCAATGGTGATCAGAGCCACTGGTGTTCCCCTGGGGGGCGGGGGCAGAGGGCAGGCTCGGAGTAAAAGGGGAAGACAGACAGTCTAAATTCCACCAAACCACAGAGATTGAGACCAAAACGAAAGGAAAAAAACAGCAGAAGGGATTTTTGTCCTTGAGATATGCTTTGCAAATTCTTTTCAATTAGTTCCCCATGAATTATTCCATCTTGAACACTAGAGCTGTCCAACCCGGGCAGCATGTACGTTTTGAAGTGGTAAGTTCTCCATTCCTAGCAGAGTCTGAGCAGAAGCTCAGCTGTTATCTCCCAGAAATTCTATTAAAAGGATGAAAGTTTGAACTAGATGACTTCTCATTCTGAAGACTGGAATTCAGCAGAACTGGCTAATCTCTGGCAAATGATACCCTTTCTGAGTACGCATGTGTCACTAAAAGTCACTCAGGCAAACCAGGCTGTTTGTAAATAGGTCTGACTGAAGGTTCCTGGATATGAAGCAGGGCTTATTTTAAGAAATTAAGTTAATTTAGATAATAGTTGTATCGAAAAGCAACAAGTTCAAGAACAATTAGAAAGAATACAGCTTCCCTTTTATTTTTTTCAACTCTATATTTTCTTTTCAAATTGTTTCTAATAGACTATCTGTTAAGAAAGGCTCTTTTGACCGGGTGTGGTGGTTCATGCCTATAATCCCAGCACTTTGGGAGGCCAAGGCGGTTGGATCACCTGAGGTCAGGAGTTTAAGACCAGCCTGGGCAACACGCTGAAACCCCATCTCTACTAAAAACACAAAAATTAGCCAGCCAGGTGTGGTGGCGTGCGCCTGTAACTCCAGCTACTTGGGAGGCTGAGGCACGAGAATTGCTTGAACCTGGGAGACAGAGGTTGCAGTGAGACAAGATAGTACCATTTTACTCCAGCCTGAGAGAGCAAGACTCCATCTCAAAAAAAAAAAAAGGCTCTTTGGTAAATTAAATATTCTTGGAAGTCATTATTACTTTCTGAGTCATAGAAGTATTTTTTAATTTGTCTAATAGCATATCAATTCCTATGCTTTACGTGTTTGTACCCGTACAACACCCAGGCCTGCGCCTGACATATAACGGGTACTCAGTAGATGTTCATTGAATTAATTGGTTGTGAAAACCAAGTGTATCAGTTGAACGTTTCTGCATATTGGTGATAATAATAGTATTTGGAACACCTGTTCTATGCCAGCGACTGGGTCAAATAAACACTCATCCTCATAGTAATTGCTACAAAGTGATTGCTACATTAGCCCCATTTTACAGATGATGCCACTGAGGCCGGTGAGCAGCTGAGCCAGGATTCAAGGCCAGGCCCATCCAACTCCTAAGCCGAAGCTCTCAGCGAGGGTATTAGACTGAATCTGAATCCTCTGCTCATTTTATCTGTTTTGAAGCACTGCATGTGGTGTGTTCAACAGATGAAAACTCTCTGATGAGGCACGTGTGGACGGGATGGCAGGGCTGAGAAGGCTGGGGGTGCACACAACCTGCTTCCCCAGCTGTTTCTGCTACCTACCGGCTGGGGCCTTCAGCTCCACCGCCTCCCTTCCCCTAGGCCCTAAATCACTCTTGGGCCCTTTGTTCTTCCCCACAGCTGCTCAGCAAATTCCTTGATTTGAAATTACGATCACAGGTTGGAGTGCTACTTAAAATAATTTTGCCAAATGTTCCATCTCTCTGTGTTGATGAATATAATGGATGACAATCTAAAGAGAAAAAAAAATGTATTCACATTGTTGAAGACAAAAAAAAAAAAAATCATAGGCTGCATGCATAGCATTAGTTGGAAGGATTCATTCCCCTAGGAAGCTACCAAATGCTGGACTCTTGTGAGCCCTCGGCATTGCCGGGAGAGCGGGCTGCTGGCAGGTACCGCCTGCATCAGAGGCAGGGAGCAAAGGTCAGGGCGTCTGTTGGCTTTGTTTAAGCATGAGTCAGAGGAGTAGGGGTAGACCTGGGGATCCGATTTCCAGTTTCCTGTGCAAGTCACCGAGTGGCACTTCTCCTCTTCCCCAAAAGCCTTTTATGCACACCGCTCTGCAGAACAAAGGGAGACAGGGTAGGAGACACATAAATCACCTAGACAGGCAGGTCTTCTCGAAGGGAGAGCCTCTAGAATTCGGAAGATGCAAGCTCTCAGGGAAGCTGCGACGGAGGCAGACCACGTGCATCTAGCACTTTGGCCAGCTGAGGCTTAACGGGCTTGGAGTTCCTCACCCTGGGCTCTGAGCGCAGCGTGAAGCCATGAGCCAACCCTTCCTGCAGGCGGGCCCTGTGGCCAGGCTCAGCTCTGGCGATGGGTGGCTGGGTCATCAGGAACCAGAACAAGGCTTCTTCCTTCACACCGGGTCCTTTCTCAGCAGGTGGGCTCCACATTAGACATTTCCCCCATGTCCTAAGCCTTCTTCCAGGCGTGAGCCCCGGGAGCAGGTGGGGAGAGATGAGCAAATCCTGAGCAAAAAAGAGGTGGCGGTGGTGCTTTTCTCAAGTTTTCCATACCAGAAAAAGCCCTGGCACAGGGCAGGCCCTGCTGGCAGCCCGGCCCCACAACCTCCCTTCCAGGCCTGCCTCCAGGGCAGGAATCCAATAGGAACATGGGCCCCCGGAGCCACCAGAGGTGCAAACTGCCCTCTGAAAACAGGGCTACCTCTCTGTAGGAGCCTTGCCATGCAGAAAACACCAGGCCCTCTGGAAACCGCCCATTCACTGAGGGTCTCTGGCTAGCTGGCACTGTGCCCATCAAGGCCACATCCCATAGGGGACCCCCCAGGGTTGTGCTGAATCACAACAAACTGGGAGCTCCGTGCATCCCCCAAAATGATCTTCCACACAGTGCAAAGCACTCAAAAGAAATGGTTCCAGCTGCTGGGGGGCCCCCGTCAGCCTTTGAGGGCAGTGAGGTGTCGGGGTGGCAGCCTCTGGGGTAGACAAGTCCCAGATCTACCACTTCACAGCTGGGGAAGCTTCCTGCACCTTTCTGGGCCTCAATTTCCTCATCTATGAAATGGGCATAACCGTATCACTTCACCAGAGGGTTGTAATGGGTCGATTCCCCTGCACTGTTGATAAGCAGGAGTCTTTTAAGCTATTTCCACCAGAAATGGCAGCAGCATGGCAGGGCAGGAGAAGCCCCCGTCTGTGGGTCAGGACAGAAGCAAGGGTGTCTTTACACACAGAGGATGCTACAGTTCTTTGTCACATCCTCGATCTGCAGGACTGTCTGCTTGGCTGTACTGTCTGCTTACCGTATTCCCTCCAAAGTAGGGCCCCAGCCCCTCATGGACTCCACACCAGACCCTCCTCCTAGATGGGCGGGGGAGAGAGGCAGAGCCTGCGTTGCCCGCCTCACTGGCTGTGGAAGTTCCCACTCTTCCTTTCTCTCTTCAGACCCTCATTCGCCATCTCCAGCTTCTCTTGCTTGGAAGAGGAAAGAGATATCTCAGGTTCCTTTGTCTTCGGATCACACTAGCTCCTCCCTACCCCGCTCTCAGGACACACCAAGAGGGAGTAGAAGGACTGGCTGCCCAACAGAAGGAGATTTTATCGCTGATATTGTTTGGACTTAATGGTGTGTGGCAATTAAAATGGTTTAAAAGCAGTCTGACTTGGAGCTGGATTGATTCTTGTCTTTAAACTGTCTAGGGACAATGCAGTCCTCACTGCCAGCCCCCAAGGCACACCCATCCCTGCACCCTCCTGGCTACTGCTCACCCAGGGCCCATCTTTACGGGCCTCTCAAGTCATAAGGGGTCACTCTCTTCTTTCCTTGGATGCCCTTAACACAGAAAATGATCTGCACCCTAGTTCCCGCCTCTCCTATAGCTCCGGAGACAGACCTGTCGGGAATCCTCAGAAAGGGTGCTCTCCCTCTCCCCAGAAGCTCTCCTTGGGTCCTTTGGGAAAGCAAAGAAATAACCCATCCCCCAAATCCCCATGGGCCTAAGAGGAGGGTCTTTGATGCCTAATTTTTTGTGTGTGTTTTTATTTTTCCTTTTTGCAGATCTCTGCATTTAATGAGGAAGTGCTGTCAGCAGAAAGGAGAGGAAGCTTCACCCCGACCCCCGAAGGACCCACATCCCTCTCAGCAGGGAGGCAGAATCATTCTTCTACCCCCGGCCTTGAAGGGCAGCTCCAGACACTCACATGGACCCAAGCAGAAAAAGCACAGAGCCTGTCATCACACTGTGTACCTTGCACAGGTGACGTCCTGCAGAAATTTCTGGAAAGAGAAAACAAATTTTATGACCCACAATTAAAATGACTTCAGTAATAAATAACCCTGATAACTTGCCCCTCTAAGTGTATGCTGCATTCCACACCCCCAGCCAGCCCTTCACCTCCATGTCCTCCTCCTCTACCTCCTCCTTGCTGAGCCCTCTAAGTGAGGGTAAAAAGGGAGAGACTTTTTACCCTCACTTCACAGAGGAGGACATCGAGGCCAAAGAAGGGAAGGGATTGCCCAGGTGACACCTAAAGTGACAGAGTTGAGACCCACATTGAGCTTGCCGGAAGTCGAGGTCACTCTAATTCCTCACACAGCCCTGCCAGAGGTTCCCACAGTGCTGTGTGCCAGCCAGGTGACAGGCCTGTCCACAAAGGACATCAAAAACCTCATCAGGCCAGGTTGACTCATGCCTGTAATCCCAGCACTTTGAGGCTGAGGTAGGCTGATCACCTGAGGTCAGGAGTTTGAGGCCAGCCTGGTCAACATGTTGAAACCCCATCTCTACTAAAAATACAAAAAAAATGACCCAGGTGTAGCAATCCTGGGATTGACTGTAGCCCCAGTTGCTCAGGAGGCTGAGGCAGGAGAATCGCTTGAACCCAGGAGGTGGAATTTGCAGTGAGCTGAGATCGCACCACTGCACTCCAGCCTGGGTGGCAGAGCGAGACTCCGTCTCAAAAAACAAAACAAACAAACAAACAAAAAAAAACACTCCTCAGTAAAGAACTGTCGCCTTCCTAAACTGGGAAACTGAAACTTTTAAAAGCAAACAGATTTCCAAACTTGGGGTTAATGATAAAACTGGAAAAACGTAAAAGACTCCCTGTTCCTCTCCTCCATTATCAATATGTGACTTAGATTTAGATGCCAAGTCAAATTTCACCAGAACTATATCCCCCATGGTAACTTATTAAAGAGTCAATCAAAGTTTGCTTTAAGAGAAAAGTAAATACACCCAACTTTCCGTACAATGCCGGACCCTGAGTTCACTTCCTGGTTCCACTGTTGACTCAGGTTGCAATCCTAGATAAGTAGCTACGCACACTCCCTGCCCTGGACCCAAAGCACAGAGCTGGGGCGGGAGCATAACGTCAGCACACCCCCCAGAATTCCGGAACGCAGGAAGGTGCCCATCTTTAGTGGAGAGGGCATGCCTCAGAGAGGAAAATCAGCAAAGGCCATGTGCAAAGCTCCACGTGCAGGTGCAAGCTGCTTGTCCCTGTGTCTCTGATTGCGAGGAAAGGGGTGACCCGTTTGTCACACCACCAACAAAACCCTGCCATCCTTTGGCTCTGCACTCACCCATAATTACTGGGCGTGAGGTGGGAAGGACTGCCCTTTGGGACTCAGGTGGTGGGGAGGATAGAGAACAGAGTCAGCAAGCCAACTCCAATCACACAGTGAGCGTTTTCAAAGAAACAAAGATAGCCAGAAGTGGGTCAGCACTTACAGTGAGGTTAGAGACAGGAAATTGGGACAGACTCCCAGGCCTGTGTAGAGGCACAGAAGTTTCATTTCATAAGTACAAACTCGTACTGTCTTTCCAATCTGATTCCTCGTTTCTCTTCTTTTGCTTTCTCATCTCCTCTGTCCTTTGGATATGCAGGAAACACACACACAGCTAACAAAAACAGTGTGATGTTGGATCCTTGCTCCTTCCTTTCTAAGATCCTCTTTTTCCTGAGGCTGAAGAAAAAGATACTTAAAGAAAACTCACTTGAGAGTCACGCAGGACGGGGAGGTGGGATACACACTGCCTCTTTCAGGTTTCTGCAATCTCAGCGCAGGCTGCTTAAGAGGAAAAGAGCAGCAAACCAGATGAAAAGCATCGTGTCCTTAAGTGATTTACTTGTTCCCAAGCAGACCTGACTCACAGCTGCATCCCTCTAACTCCCCGTCACTGACCTTCCCTACACCTTTTCTGTGGCATCTAGTGTGCTGCACACACAGTATATGTGCGCAAGTGCATGGTATATACACATAGGACACAGCATACATACTGTAAATATGTGCCCAGACATAGCACAGTGCTCAGCTTCTCATAGTACACACAACCACTAGACACATACACTCTCAGTACACAGACATGGTGCTCATGCACACGTGGTAATGCATGGTGAATCCACATGGTGCCCATGCACGCACACAGTACCCACGCACACAGGCGGCGCACACGCATGGCGCCCATGCACGCACACAGTACCCACGCACACAGGCGGCGCACACGCATGGCGCCCATGCACGCACACAGTACCCACGCACACAGGCGGCGCACACGCATGGCGCCCATGCACGCACACAGTACCCACGCACACAGGCGGCGCACACGCATGGCGCCCATGCACGCACACAGTACCCACGCACACAGGCGGCGCACACGCATGGCGCCCATGCACGCACACAGTACCCACGCACACAGGCGGCGCACACGCATGGCGCCCATGCACGCACACAGTACCCACGCACACAGGCGGCGCACACGCATGGCGCCCATGCACGCACACAGTACCCACGCACACAGGCGGCGCACACGCATGGCGCCCATGCACGCACACAGTACCCACGCACACAGGCGGCGCACACGCATGGCGCCCATGCACGCACACAGTACCCACGCACACAGGCGGCGCACACGCATGGCGCCCATGCACGCACACAGTACCACGCACACAGGCGGCGCACACGCATGGCGCCCATGCACGCACACAGTACCCACGCACACAGGCGGCGCATACGCATGGCGCTCATGTACACACACAGTAGACGTGCATAACCCAGAAAGTGGTTCTCGCTCTCTCTGTAACCTTAAGGCTTTGGCAGTTTTTGCTAACTCCCACACTTGGCAGGATTATATTTCCTTGTGGCCTCAATGACGTGACTGGGGCAGATTTATTGGGCTTACAGGAAAAAAAGAGAGAGGAGAGAGAGTGAGCAAGCGAACAGTCAACTCTGCTGTTCAGTCGACCTGGGCCTTGGTTTTAAATTGCAGATCATCAGGGCCAAGAGAGAAGATTTGGCAAGATGGGGCCGTTTGGTAAGAGTCAGCATGTTTTACTGGTAATCTGCCGGAACACTAAAATACACACTTCCAAAGGTTACCTTCTTTCAATTCACTGAAAAACAAAAGGAGCGCTAAGGCTGGACCAAGTAACATACGTAACGCATGCATGCATGTGTAGATGCAAACATGTGTACCTAACGTGTAGCAAACAGGCACAGTGCCTTCAGGAGAAATTTGGGTGTGGAAGTGAGTTCTACCTTTTTGCTCTCTTTTCCTCCTGGAGGGAGAGAGGAAAAGTAGTTGCCTAAATGCACAGTCATCCCACAAGCTGTCACGCATGAATCTCTCCAGGGCAGAGGGAAGAGCAGGAACCCCTTTCTGAAGCTGAGTTCTGATGCAGAATGTTTTCAGGGCTTAAGACCGTCGCAGCTGGCCAACAGAACTTTCTAGGCTGCGGTCAGTTAGCTATGTCGCACAGGAATGGCATCTGCTTTCACTTACTTCAGAACTCAAGCATGAGTCCTCAGAGTATTTGACCAAAAGAGCCTCCCACTTGGCCTGCTAGGGTTAGGTTTCCAGAAGATGTAGCACTTACCTGCGCTTCCAGCTCCCAGAAGCCAAAGCTGTGGAAAGATCTCAGCATGTTTTTTTCATTTTATTTTAAAATCATACCGTTTTAAAAGATCTGCTTGTTATAAATCCAGCCTAAAAGCAGATGAATGAAACATAGACTCACAGACAAAAATCTACAAGAATAGATCATTTTTTTTTAACTTGGGGTTTTTGGGGAGGGAGTTTAGAGGAGTGGCAGGGAAGCTACTAGGTTGAGATAAACTCCTTAAAAGCCTGGGCAAAATTCCCTTTTCTGTGACCAGTTTATTTTAAAAAATGACAAAGTCACACAAGAGAGGAAATGAAAAGGGAAATTTTTAGACTTCTCATCTGTGCTGAAAGCCCCGGGCTGTTTCAGAACTCGGCCAGGGTAACCGTCGGGCCTGCGGTCACCGGGCTGCAATCCCAGGAGGCCTTGCATCAGTGGCCATTATATCAATAAGGAAGTACAATCACCAAACCACAAGCAGCCTGCTTTTCTAAGCCCACATGTTGCTTTAGAGGGTTTTCAAACAAGAGACTTTCCTGTTTTTGAAACCTGTGAATCCACAGGTCTTACAGGTTACTCAAATTATCTTATCACTTGCAGCATGAATTTCAAAACTGCTTATGCAGCCTTCCCCTCCCCTGGAAGAGCAGATGCCCATTTATGAACCAGAATCCTTATTTACAGTATCCTGTGGCCCACTGCTGACACAGAAGGGGAAAGGATACCAGTTACACATTAAGCTTTAAGGTTAAAGTATTTGTGCCAGACGCTGTCCAGACACCATCTATTCACTGACCTGAAGGCAGGATGACTACACTAGAGAAATTCCGCAGAAACAGTTTTGCGGTCACAGCAGCATTCCTTCCCAGAGCCGGATTACGGTTCCTGCAGATGCATACACAGGCTTGCAAATGTAGTGTAAGAAATCATCACAATTCACAGGAAACACATTTATCCTAGGATGTGCAGGAAATCTGTCAGAAGTTTTTAAACACAATCAAAAGACATCCCAAACAACCTATGAGGCTGCCTCCCAGGTTGCTGGAAAAATCAGTGCAGGATAGCATTGGTAGAAGACGCTGTGGGGGCGCAGGTGACAGACATAAACTGTCCAATCTAAATCCTCAGTGGTATGCAAGTCAGACTTGTTTTCCTCTTGAGCAAACAGAAAGTTTCAGATTAAAGAGTGACTTATAGAAATGACACAGAGTTCTACATAGAACTGGTAGAGTTCGTCTATAAGAGCGTCTTAGAGATGAGATAAATCCCCAGACAAACGTCTCTCTTTCCTGCTCAGCTCAGAAGCTTGGGAAAGATGTGCAAAACCCAGCAACTGCATTTGATGGCCATCTCCTGGTTTAACTTCTACCCTGGCCAGTGGCCACCTGGCGTTGCCCAAGCGCTGCCTGCAGACTTCATCATGCGCGCCCTCGATGGAAGCGACCCTCCAAGTCAGACCTGAATCTCACAGAGGGCCTCTGGACCGTAGTTCACCTTCTGTTTTCAGTGGTGGCCCAATCAGACTGAGAATAAACAACAAGTGAACTTGTTCCTGCAGATGCAACCAGTGACCTCTAAGCCCATTTCACAGAATGCACGTCAGTGATGGATCTAGCAGACACTTACCTAATCTCACACTTTTCCTTCTTTTTGGGTTATAATTAACACTTAGCTCATCAAAAAAAAAAAAGAAGAAGAAGAAGAAAACGTTTTCAAAAAAAGAACGTGCTCTCAGTTTGAGCACACTGGGATTGTGTTTATCTTATTTTATTCATCTGTATTCTAATAAATCTTCTAGCACTGAAATGTTGAGACAGACATTCTAACGTCGTGATGCTGTGATCTTTATGTTTGAGGGAGGGTTCTTTCAAAGTAGCCAAAATCATCTCTCTTATGAAATGTGAAGTGTGAATGAAGCCACACTGAGAAGTCTCAGAAGTAAATCTCTCAAAGATTATCATCAACCTATTGTGGAATAATGCAATGTATCCCTAAGGGAAAAGACTATAAAGAAAAAGAATTCCAGGCTTCCCACACAGGCCCAGTAGATCTGTTTTATCATAGTAACTCGTCGGTAAATGGCCTACTATGTCCATATGGAACACATCCTCTTTTTCAATCCCGTTTTAAAAACAATCCTGCAAGATCTGCACATGTACCCAAGAACTTAAAGTACAATTAAAAACAAAACAAAAAAAAAGAAGCCACAACAAAGATAAATACGTCCAAGTGCGAAAAAATAAAATAACTTTTTCTTTCCCCCTTTGGAAAAGCCATTGCTACAAAATTCATATAAGACAAATATGGACTGGTTTTCTGTTCCTTTCACTCTCCATTCCTAACACTTTAGGCTGTGGGAACCAGGGCTCCTCAGCCTAAATACGCTTGCCTGACTTTGCTAGAGAATTGCTCAACCACCCTCTCACTTTGGCTGTGTAGACCATGGCTCTTGCCCTCCCTCCAGGCGACAGACATTAACTAATGAAGAAAACAGTGACTCTCCCCTCTTCTGCCACCACTGACACTCCATACCCAGGCCTGTGCCACCAGGCCTGCTTCCAGGACTGTGGGCAGCCTGTTCCCTGATATCCTGAGCCTTCCAGCTCCAGTGCCAACAAGGGCACTAGGTAATGGGTACTTCTGATGAAGGGCACTGCGAGAGCTCTCCCTATCACTTCTCTAGAGAAGTGTTCCATTTGGGGTCATTACCAACCCTGTCTACTCAGACCAGCACAGCAAAGAGAAACATAAGATGGATAGGCAAGTATAAGGTGTCACCTTACATTTGAGTCTGCAAAAAGCTCTTAATATGACAAGATTTCTTTATTTGGAACAAGAAAATACTCCAAAAGGAATCTCATCAATTTTAGTTTGGAATGTTTATAGAGGTTGTCTGGAAGAAGAATTTTTGTTGATTTGGTTTCTTAATACAAAGAAAAATAAAAGTTTTTGTAGTTATTCTTGGAGGTATGACCTCCAATTACAAGTATGAGATATTGTAAGCAAGTCCTTTTTTTTTAATCGAAGAGACAGGCTTTCAGCATGTTGCCCAGGCTGGTCTCGAACTCCTAGACTCAAGCAACCTGTCCACCTCAGCCCTGCAAAGTGCCGGGATTATAATTATGAGCCACCATTCCCAGCCTGTAAGTCAGTCTTTTAAAGCTCATTTTAAACTTTTTCTTTCTTTCTTTTTCAGACAGTCTTGCTCTGTCGCCCAGGCTGGAGTGCAGGGGCACAACCTCAGCTCACTGCAACCTCCACCTCCCAGGTTCAAGCAATTTTCGTGCCTTAGCCTCTTGAGTAGCTGGGATTACAGGTGCCCACCACCACGCCTGGCTGATGTTTGTATTTTTAGTAGAGATGGGGTTTCACCATATTGGCCAGGATGGTCTTGGACTGCTAACCTCAAGTGATCCACCTGCCTCAGCCTCCCAAAGTGCTGGGATTGTAGGCGTGAGCCACCAGGCCCAGCGCATTTTAACTTTTATTAGGACAATTTTCAAGCATGTAGAAAGAGCAGACTACAGCACAGCGACTCCCCACAGATCTATCACTTAATCAACAGTTACCCAGATTTGTTAACATTTGCTTCATTTTGTGTGTTTTACTTTTTTTTCTCTTTGCTGAAATCTTTTAAAGAGCATCAGAGGGCTCACGTCATTTCACTCCTTCCTACTTTAGCATGCGTCTCTAAAACACATGAACATTTCCCTTCATAGCCACAATGCCATGAAGATCGCTTTTAAAAGCAATGCAGGAAGTCGGCTTTGTGGAGATGGCAAATAGCACATGGATATGAAGGCCTGGGGTAGCATTTCCAGTGAGCATGGCACACACACTCAGAAAGTCCCAGATCTCAAAGACAACTGGGCAGAAGCAAGACGAAGTGTTCTGGAAGACTGAGTCAGATCATTTAAAAAGGGGCACAAGGCCAGGCACCGTGGCTCACGCCTGTAATCCCAGCACTTTGGGAGGCCGTGGCAGGCAGATTGACTGAGATCAGGGATTCAAGACCCAGCCTGGCCAACATAATGAAACCCATCTCCACTAAAAATACAAAAATAAGCTGGGCATGATGGCGCATGCCTGTTGTCCCAGCTACTTTGGGGGGCGGGGGCTGAAGAAAGAATCACTTGAACCCAGGGGAGGCAGAGGCTGCAGTGAGCTGAGGTCGTGCCATTGCACTCCAGCCTAGGTGACAGAGCAAGACTCCGTCTCAAAAAAAAAAATTGGGGGGCTTAAGTAATGACACAGACAGTTGATAACAAAGAGTCTGAATAATGAGTTAATGAGTAACAATAAGGCAAGATTCCTAAGTATATTTATGCACACAATTCTTAATCTAACGGGCCAGCCGCTGTGGCTCACACCTATAATCCCAGCACTTTGGGAGGCCCAGGCAGGCAAATCATTTGAGGTCAGGAATTCCAGACCAGCCTGGCCAACATGGTGAAACCCTGTCTCTACTAAAAGTACAACAATTAGCCAGGTGTGGTGGTGCGCGCCTGTAGTCCCAGCTGCTTCGGAGGCTGAAGCAGGAGAATTGCCTGAACCCAGAAGGCAGAGGTTTCAATGAGCCGAGATTGTGCCACTGCACTCCAGCCTTAGTGACAGAGCAAGACTCTGTCTCAAACAAGCAAATAAACAAATAAACAAGTAACTAAGTGAATAAATTCTTAACTAGAAATGTGACTATTTCACTTGCATCATTAAAAGTATATATTCAAGCCGCTGGGCGTGGTGATGCACATCTGTAATCTCAGCACTTTAGGAGGCTGAGGCAGGCGGATCACTTGAGGTCAGGAGTTCAAGACCAGCCTGGCCAACATGGTGAAACCCTGTCTCTACTAAAAGTACAAAAATTAGCCAGGTGTGGTGGTGTGCGCCTGTAGTCCCAGCTGCTTCGGAGGCTGAAGCAGGAGAATTGCTTGAACCCAGAAGGCAGGTTTCAATGAGCCGAGATTGCACCACTACATTCCAGCCTGGGTGACAGAGCAAGATGCTGTCTCAAAAGAAAAAGAAAAAAAGTATATATTCAAGGAGACCAAAAAAAGGACACAAAATTTGTGTCACCTGCCCATTGGGAAACGGGCATGACCTCATACTGGCTTGCATACATGGTATCTTCAACCCATCACCTACCCGCCTCCACGAAGCCTACTCTGCTGGCAAGAGTCCTTCTTCAGTGTCTACCAGATGCCAGGTACCATGCCAAGCCTTGAGTATCATGTCCCTTATGGGCACAGCCACCCTGCGAGGGACATCCTACTATCCCCTCACTTTTTCAGGGGAGAAAAATTTAGACTTCAAGCAAGTGAGTTATTTTCCCACAGAGGTAATAAAGGAGGAACTGACTTATCCTGCCTTCTGCCCTAAAGAGTCTTTTATACTCTCCTTCGCCCCAGGGTAGCAGCTTTAGATCCACCCTAAACCAAGCGGCACTATCAAGGTTTCTACTCGTACTGGGAAGTAGGAGGAGGTTTATCATCTGCACCATCCCAGGACGGGCATCGCTTCCTTTTGTATTAACCAAATCACTGTTTCTGGCTATGACAGTCCACTGACAAACAGTGGACGACACTACCCCATAGTGCCTCTAATGCTGCTAACAAAAATAGCGAAAGCATGTGCAGAAGGGCTTAACTATAGCTACTGGAGTTTCCATCACAGGCTCAACATGCTAGCCTTGCTTATGTGCACCAATGCATCTTCTTCCCAGGCAGGGTTGCCAACTCCATTAGCTAGTTGTTCTCTGCCACTTCCTCTAATATTATCTTCACACAAAAGACACACAACAAACTCAGCTCTGCTCAGCCACGTGCGCCCCCCCAAACAGGTCTGTGTGCCATATAAACCTGTGGTTCCTTGTTTAGCATCACCCCTGAACTGCAGGATGATCCCCCCAGCAAGTCATTTAATCTTTCCCTACTGCGGTTTCTTGATCATTAAAACACGATATTTGAAGACCACGGCTGAAGTAGCCAAATTATATTAACCAATTAAGGTGAAAAGCACCATATAAATGCTACAGAGGCTAAGACTTAAATAGCCACATATGGTTTTGGGGAAAAGCACTCCAGTGCATCAGCTAGCAGTAAAAACACGCAGGAGCGAAATGATCTGGCTGGAAATGAACTGCAAATTGATAAACATTTAGTTGCTAATGCAGTGTTTATTATTTTTTACTAGGATAAAAATTAACTTGTGCGGCCTTAGCCAGCAAACACATTGAACTCTACCATCTGGGCAGTGGAATCGGTATTTCTGTAGCCTCGGGTTACAGGTGACTGTTGCCAGATTTGATTTTCTTTGCAAATAGGGCCTGGTGGGTCCGGACAACAGAACTGCGGGATGCTTCTGGGAAGCACAAACACGCCCGGCACCAGAGGTTGCCATTCAAGAGGGAGCTTCGGGGCGCCTCCAACCAGAATCAGTATCCCGCATTTCCCAAAAAGAGGCTGCAACTTGTGTTGAAGAATCGCCTTCAACCTGCGAAATCAGCCAGGGCTGCAAGGTGGCGACCTCTCGAGGAACTGGGGGTTCCGGGCAGCCGGGAAATAGAGGGCGCCTGGAGCTGGGAGAGGGTCTCCGGGGGCGCGCAGGGCCCGGGGGCGGACGCCGGCTGGACCACGTGACAGCACCAGCAGAGGCCCCAGCTGCAGTCGCCGCCGTCCTCTCCCCTGGGCACTTTTCCATGAGCTTTGTAAGCAGCTGGATCAATTTACTCGAGCCATAGCACTCTACACAAGCACGGTCTGAATTATTACTCATGGAAATCCCCTCTGTTTCAGGGAATCAGGTAGCTTTCAAACTCCCAACAATTAATGGCCCTTTTGGTCAAAGGAAGATAGCGAAAAAACAAAACACCTCCCAGCCCCCAGAAAAACCCAACCCAGACTCACCCGTCTAAGGGCGTCTAAAGAGGCCGTTTGGTTTCTAGTAAATTAGAGGGAGTGGGTGGTTGATGTACAAGTAATGCTATCCTGTAGAGTGTGGTCTTCTTTGACGTCTGCAAAATGTTTCTCTCGCGTTTCTCCTTCTTTCCCTCTCTCCCTCCTTTCCCCGCTCCACCTTCCTCCTTCCCTCTTTATGTCAGAGACCGATGACATAGGGTAGCTGTGGAAAAGTGCTTATAGTTTTGCAACACAGCTCACAGGCTCAGAAAAATTCCTACATTTAAAAAATGAGGGAATTGGCCGGGCGCGGTGGCTCACGCCGTATAATCCCAACACTTTGGGAGGTCAAGGCGGGTGGATCACCTGAGGTCAGGAGTTCGAGACCAGCCTGATCAATATGAAGAAACCCCATCTCTACTAAACACACAAAATTAGCCGGGCATGGTGGCATACGCCTGTAATCCCAGCTACTAGGGAGGCTGAGGCAGGAGAATTGCTTGAATCCTGGAGGCAGAGGTTCCAAGTGAGCCCAGATTGGGCCACTGCACTTCAGCCTGTGACACAGAGTGAGACTCTATCTCAAAAAAAAAAAAAAAAAAAGGGTATTTCGGGAGGTGGGTGAATTGGCAACACAAAAACACATGCTACCCAGGGAAGGAAGACAGGAAAGGCTGCTGGGAAGTGCAGTCACCTGGCAGTGCAGTCCTCCCTCCATCCTGCCGGGTTCACAGCTCTGTCTGAGGGAACATTTTTCCTGTGGCCAAGAACACATCCTCACTCCAGCTGGCCTGAAATGGGATCCTGGAGAGCATGCGCCCTGCTCCCTGGCTACTGTATTCGTGGGACCCATCCCGGGCTGCTGAGCCAGGATTTCTGCTGGCTCTGCTCCCCCTCACTCACCCGCCTCCATCAGAGTTGTTTTTCTCTACTCATGAAAGCAGCAGCTGCCCCCATGTTAGCATAGAACTTTCTAGAATAAGGATTCCAAGTTCAGGCAAACATTTGTAACCGAACCCTGCAGGACTTTTGTTTCCCCTTCAAATTGCTTTTGTCAGCCCCACTGTTTCAACAGGGGCAGCCTCAGACACCCTAGGGGTCTAGCCCGACAGTCTCAGGGTGAGGATTGGTGGAGTGTGCCACTCCCTTTGTGGCTGTGAATTGCCATTTGATCTCTAGAGTAACGTGACTCTGACATTCTCGGTCCGGCAGCTCTTTAAAAGCAGAAATCTATCCAGACCTCGCAGGTTCTGACGTGCTGACTGCAAGTGTGGTTTCAGGCAGGCGGAGGAAGGAGCAGGCCCAGAGTACACATGGGCCTGGTTTTCTCCATGTGGGGTGTACTGGCCTCCCCCTCACCCATTCCCTGATCTAGGCGGTAAGGTCATCGGAAGACCTTAGAACAGAGAGCAAACCAAAGCCTCTAAACGCTCTAAATGCCACAGACACCAGCTTCATGTGAAAAGCACAGCCGCCATGGGAAAAAAAAATGCACAAGAAAATGGAGCAAGGTCACATGAATCTACTCAGAAATTAGACCTGGAACCTGAAAAAGAACCTGTGTGTGTGTGTGTGTGTGTGTGTGTGTGTGTGTACTGGGGGGGAGGCGGGTGCGTGGTAGCAGCTTTGTAAGCAGGTAACATAAGAGCACAGCACACAGTAGATATTTCTTAGATTGTGCATAAGTAACCACAGTCTTTGCCACTAAAAGTCATGGTGAAAACCGAGATCACTTTCTCATTAATGTAATAAAGGTTGAGTAGATGAACAAATGAGCAAGTGAATGAATTAGAGGAATGAATTTGTTTAGAAAACAAAGCAAAAGGAAGCTGAAAGTTTTTTTTTTTTGAGACGGAGTTTCGCTCTTGTTACCCAGGCTGGAGTGCAATGGTGCGATCTCGGCTCACCGCAACCTCCGCCTCCTGGGTTCAGGCAATTCTCCTGTCTCAGCCTCCTGAGTAGCTGGGATTACGGGCACATGCCACCATGCCCTGCTAATTTTTGTATTTTTAGTAGAGACGGGGTTTCACCATGTTGACCAGGATGGTCTCGATCTGTTGACCTCGTGATCCACCCGCCTCGGCCTCCCAAAGTTGAAACTTTTTTTCTCAGATGGATTCTGCTCTGTTGCCACTCACTGCAACCTCCGCCTTCTGGGTTCAAGCGATTGTTGTGCCTCAGCCTCCCGAGTAGATGGAACTCCAGGCTCGTGCCACCACACCCATGTAATTTTTTTTTGTATCATTACTAGAGACAGGGTTTCACTGTGTTAGCCAGGATGGTCTCAATTTCCTGACCTTGTGATCCACCTGCCTCGGCCTCCCAAAGTGCTGGGATTATAGGCATGAGCCACCATGCCCGGCCTGGAGCCGGAACTTTCTTGGAGGTGGACGGGGGTAGCTGCTGGATCAGTTTGGAAGACAACAGACTTCTAAAGTGTAAACCCAAACCACAAGTCAGGCATAATGATGACTGATGACGGTGACACTCGGTAACATGCTTGGACACTTGCCATGTGCTAGACAGTGAGTGTCTGACACATACCATCTCGGCTGGTTCTCATAGCAACCCCAGGAAGCAGGAAATGGGTTAAGGGTATGTTGACTCTTTGGGGCACCAGAGAAGAAACTCCCGGACCCGAAGGGTTTAGGAAGACTTGAAGTGGATGTATTCAACCAGGAGCAACCCATGTGTAACTCCAACTTGACAAAGTGGGCCCTTTGGTGGCCCTGCCTGCCTGAGTCTCACCTCCACTGTAGTTTCTGCCTGCCTTGGCTACTGTTGAGAGGAGACAGTTGCTCTCCTGCTGACTTACTGTGCAGACACCCCTGAGGGGGCTGACAGAGGAATGGCTCTGATCCCAGGCAGCAAAAGCTGGCCTAGCCACCTTCTCCCCTTTGCTCCCTCCGTGCCGCGCGAAAACTGCGGGAGGGAAGGGAAGATCTGGCATCCCTAGGCTTCGAGGGCACCTCCTTCGTGCTTCTGGGCCCAGCCTTCATGGGTAACCGCTGGGCTCTTGAGGAAGCACACTCCACTTTTCCAGGACATTAGGGGACTCAGGTCGCCAGAGTGATGCCAACGGGCCTGTCCTTGGCGGCCTCCAGGGGACTTATCTCACCTTCAAGAGAAGAGCACAGACTGACCCGACTGAAGCACTTGTGCCTCGCAGCCCTTGCTGATTAAAGCCAAGCAGGCTCTTTTCAACATCATCACAGGGATCCTTTTCATCCACCTCACGTTTCTCCTCCTGGAAATGCACCTTGGCCATTTCTTGGTAACTTCAGGGGAATTCTCTCTCCTTCATGATCTACTCATTGCTCTGAGTTTTTCTTTCCTCCAAACATGCTGTTACAGCCCCGACACCAAAGACATGCATTTAAAAAAACACTCCTGCAGGGGCATGATTTGAAACATCCCCGTCTCGTGTAAGATGTTTCCCTGAGAGGTAGAGTGGGTGAGGAGGGAGGGATCTTGGGGAGGAGCTTCTGCTTGAACACAGTTCGTTACCCTCTGATCACCAGGACAGGGCAGAGCTGGCTGTCAACGTGAGCTTCTTACCCACTCCGCATGCCCCCCGGATCCCCATGCCCGTACATCCCAACAGATTGGATTCCTATTACCCACCCATGGACATGCCACTAAAAATACAGAATAGCAACATCTCCAGAACTTGCTGAACTCTGCAAGTCATCAGGTGCATGATCTACCTGAACAACAGACAGAGCCCTCGGCCACTGCCAGGTGGTTTAGCAAGGGCGTTGAGAAGCTGTTTGGTTAACAGCGCCCTGACCAGTCTGTGCTCCCGTGATGGGGGCGAAGATGAAGCAGATGCCCTCGTGGCCACCTGACACAGCAAGTTGCCAGCCTCCACTAAACACACACACAACCACGACCTCCAGGATCCTGGCAGGGTGGCACGGGGAGCAGCCAGGGCACGCTCTCTAGTCCTGGCCAGCTGGAGTCCAAGCCTTGGATAATAATTCCTGCTCGACGGGCTAATACAATGTCTCTAACACTTCTGGCTTCTGTTAGGCCCCTTTTCACTGTTGGCAGCAGCAGCGTTTACAGTGGCTTGGTGCTGAAGGAGATCGCTGCAATGTACTGAGCAATGTTGATGAGCCATGTGTGTTAAACACTTCACCTCCACTTATATTAGCTGGCAAGGGAGGTATCGTTATTCCTAGTTTACAAATAAGAAATCTGCGCTCAGAGCAGTTAAGTAATTTGTCCAAAGTCACACAGATAGTGGCAAAGAGGTGGCTCCCATTAAGGTAATCCATGCCTCCTTCACAGCGCTGTGCGGACCTGCGTGAAGACAGGTACTCACAAGCAGAGCTCCTATTGTGGGGCAGCATAGAGTAAATCCAAGCCATTATGCAAGAGGGCGACAGCTGTGTGTGTGTGTGTGTGTATACACCCTCAGCTCAGGACAGCGCTTTTCAGCGGCACACAGTCTGCCAAAGGCCCATGTTCAAAACCCACCTATGGAAAAGTGTGTTTCTGACCTTCAGCCCACCACAAATGTAGGAAATAAACAAAGGGCATTCATAAAGACTAGAGTTCACATTCAAAGTTCTGGCACATCATAAAGCTCAACAAACCAAGCGGTCAACTGTCAGAAACCATCAGTAGACATGCAGGTAATGATACATTTATTTTAAGCAGTCAGAAAGGGAGAGCAGGCCAGGTGTGGTGGCTCATGTCTGTAATCCCAGTACTTTGGGAGGTCAAGACAGGTGGATCACGAGGTCAGGAGTTCAAGACCAGCCTGGCCAAGATGGTGAAACCCCATCTCTACTAAAAGTACAAGAAAAAGTAGCTGGGTGTGGTGGTGTGTGCCTGTAATCCCAGCTACTCAGGAGGCTGAAGCAGAGAGTTGCTTGAACCTGGGAAGCGGAGGTTGCAGTGAGCCAATATTGCGGTACTGCCACCAGCCTGGATGGCAGAGCAAGGCTCAGAAAGAGGGAGGGAAGGAAGGAAGGTAGGGAGGGAGGGAAAAAGAAAAGAAAAAAAAGAGAGAGAGGAAGGGAGGGAGAGAAAGAAAGAGAGAAAAGAAACGGAGAGCAAAAGGTAAAATCAGTTTCTGCATGAGCAGAGGTTTATCTTGGCACCTCCTCTGAGGTAGAGCTAACAAGCCGGAGGTCGCTTGAACAGGGAGAAAGAGCCTCTTGCAGGTCACTGGCATCCATAGATAAACTGTAACGGAAGTGTTCCTGTGGGGATAAGTGGGTTTTAACACGCTGGCTTTGACTGGTGACAAACGCTCTTTTGCTCTATATGCCTCCATACCCACTTTAGTTCCTTAATGATGAAGCCTCCCCCTTTAGCTTTTCCAGGCCACTCTTGTTGAGAAGCCAGTATCCTAGAAGTTAAGTGGCTTTGGATATCATTCACTATTGCAGCAAACTTTCCTTGCTGAATCAGACCCCATAAAATATCAACTATGAGTCACACACAAGTAAATGAGCCACTGTTGGGAAGAGAGATAATGGGTTGATATTTATCAGTGGCTGAATCTTAGCAAATAATGAGCGTTGCCTAATCGCTGGTCATGTTCGTGTACATTACCTTCCAGATCACTGCGTGGTGGCTCTTGGGATCGTTTCTAACTGTTAATATTTACAGGAACCAGGCACTTAACACAGACCAAGTGGGCTAGATGTCTCCATGGATGACTAATGCCAAATGCAGCCTTTTATCTGAGGGTCACTACTCTGAATCCTCATTGGCTGGAGCGGATTGGAAGTGATCAGGTCACTGAAAAGCATGTACATGGCTGTGGGCTCAGTTCAGTTCTCTGGATGTACCAACATTTATGAAATGAAAGCATAGAAAAGAGCAAAGGTTTGAACGCATGTAGGGCAATAGTATTTGTTTGTTTTCATTGGCTAGCTAGTCATTATAGCTCTGGGGCTAAGGGAAGGTGGCAGTGAGATGGCACCAAGAGCCCACGTCCGTCTCCACTTGCAGCAAGATACATAATCAATATCCTTGAGTAATAGGAGCTCGCATCACCCCAGACCTACCTGAGAAGGCATCTGCACACCAGCCAAACATGCAGACAGACACACTCCGAGGAGGGGATGCTGCTTAGAACCAGGCAGATCACCTTGCCTGGTTATGCGAGTCAGCAGAGTAGACCTGTCTGCCCAACCAGTCAAGGGAGAAAACCTTGGCTCCATTCAAGCACTGGGAGATAATTTCCTTACATTTTGAAAGCTTATGATATTCAGGAGTCACTCCTCTAAAACGCAGCTAACCTCAAGAGTAGGGCACGCCCAAGGTCCCATCAAGTAAGAGGATTCTGCTTGGCAATAAGCGGGGAGCAAGAGGAAGAAGGCAGGGCCGAGGGGCAGAAATGAAGGCCAAGAAAGGAAGGCACTGCAGGAGGAAGCGGGGCAGGACGGGCTGAGCATATGGGGCCTTTGGGACACTTGCTGGGCTGGCCCTCAGACCATCACTGGAACAGACATAGAAAAGAAAGGGAAGCTTGTTTTCACAATGACATTAAATGAAGAAATGCCACTGGACTTTAAAACACCACTATCAATATGAGGGAAAAGTGACTGTGACGTGCGAATTTCACTCCCCAGCACGCACAAAGAAGCTGACTGCAGCCACACTTGCGGTCACATCTTGGCCAAAGTCCTCTGGGGACACAATCCTTCGCAACATGGGACCCGTTGGTCAACACTGAGCTCCTGGAATCCCAGTTCCCTTTAAAATCGGTGAACTAAGCCAGGATTGCAAAAAGACTGACAGGACAGGATTATTATTGTGCTGTGTAGTGAAAAATATCTTTGATCCGAAATGGTAGATACTGTAGAAGAAAGAGAAGCACCGTGTCTTCCATACTGAGCCAGTTTTAAACGGGCCTGGCTTCTTAATAAGCACAGCAGGTTTGAAGACTTGGAGGTGATTCCAGAGATCTCAAGATGATTCCTGCAGATCAAGAGATCAGAGCACACAGCCATTCGCCAGGGCCGTAAATCAGAGGACAGTCCTCCTGTAGCAATAGCGTGGAACCACAACACTGGCATCATTTGTACACACAAAGGGCAAAAAGTGACATCATTTGTGCCCAGAGAATCATTTTATTGGAGCCTTTTCCAGCCACCATGCCCCATAAAGCTGGGACTGGCAAACACTGGCAAACACACTGCCAGCCACACAGTCACAGCGTGTCCACAGCAGCTGGGGTCCCTGTTCCCAGTCTTTCAAGATGCACACACGAGGCTGCTCCATCAGGCCATGTGTGTGTTCTGGCCGTGTGTGTCCATACACATGAGTTAAAAACAAACTTAGAGAGGTGGGGACAGCCAGAAGAAAATGATGCTTCTGATTCTATACTGAAAGATGTCCATTCTATTCCAGAGCTTCTGTAGGGCGGCATTGCTGCCCCTGTTTCATTTCCCCTTAAGTTTCTGCTTTCTGCTGGGGGTAGAGGTAAGGAGAGGCTGAGTAGGGGCGGTTTGGGAGGAGAAAATGAAGAAAAAATGAGCTCGTTCCTGTTCCTTTTCCTGTACGTCTTTCCTTCTGTCTGTAGATGGTCTAGATAACCTGCAGATGACTGTGTGCGCAGCGAACGTGTTGAGAGGCTGTACTGGGCTCCTTGGGCTGCCATAACATAGGACCACAGACTGGCTTCCACAACAGAACTTTATTTCTTCACGGTCTGGAGGCTGGAAGTCTGAGGTGTAGGTGCCAGCAGGGTTGGATTCTTCTGAGGCCTCTCTTTGGCTTGCAAATGGCCATCTTCACCTATGTCCCCAGATAGGCTTCCCTCTATGTGTGTCTGTGTCCTCGTCTCCTCTTCTTAGAAGGACACCAGTCATATTGGATTAGGGCCCATCCTTGTGACCTCATTCTAACTTAATCACCTCTTTGGCCGGGTGCAGTGGCTCATACCTGTAACAAAGTGATCGCCTGAGGTCAGGAGTTTGAGACCAGCCTGGCCGACATGGTGAAAGCCCATCTCTACTGAAAATGCAGAAATTAGCCCAGTGTGGTGGTGCATGCCTGTAGTCCCAGATACTTAGGAGGCTGAGGCAGGAGAATCACTTGAACCTGGGAGGCAGAGGTTGCAGTGAGCTGAGATTGCGCCACTGCACTCCAGCCTGGGTGATAGATCGAGACTCCATATCAAAAATTAAATAAATAATAAATAAACAAAGACCTTATCACCAAATAAGGTCACATTCTGAGGTCTTGGGTGTTAGACATTCAACCATAACAAAGGCAGAGCAGGAAGAGATCTCAACAAGTGCATGGAGCACTGGCAGGAGCTTGGCACTGTGCCAGGCAAGAGAGAGAGAGAAAAGGTGGGAGAGACTTCATCTCAATGTGACTGAATGATTAGATGATAGCCCTGGTGAGTGAGTAAGTGAATAGGTGGATGGATCAATCATGAATGCATTGAATGAACATCAAAACTGCTCCCCGAATCCAGAGGACTCTGAACAGACTCCAAGCATACTGAGTCCAGAAGCCAAGCCCAGAGCTGACAGCCGCTCCCATCTCTATCTCCCATGGAGCTGCAGAGATCATTAGGGAACTAATGTGGCCACTGTTTCATGCCCAGAGGAAGCTCACCAGCTGTTGCCCAGAGCAGAACCATCGTGCAGAGAGGCGAGGCACTCCCAGATGAAATCCAGGCCTTCCCCGATGCCTGCCGTGAGCCCTCCCCCAAAGTGGGCTCACGGCAGCCCACAGCCACAAAGCAGAAGTGAAAGCCCCTACAGGCAGCGTCTCAGGTCAGCTTCGTGGACAGCGCTACCTGCCACAGGCCACACCAGCTGCAGTGCGGTGACAGGTGGTGTTCTGTGCCCAGGGTCGTGTCACCCTGCCAAATGAGAGTGAAAGTTTCCACATCCTCCATGCCATCCCCTCAACTCAAAACACTCCCAGGGCCCAAAACTGCACCCCTAAGTAAGGAAGCCAAATTAGAGGAACGGAGAGGGAACATGCCTGTGAGATTTCTCATCAGCGCATTCTTCCACTCACAGCAGATAATTCAGCTACGTCACTCAATTATGATTATCTGTGCTGTGAGTGTTTCTTTAATCAATCTTCAAAAGAGCTTTCCAGACCGGTGTTTTGGTGACTAAATCGAGGTCAGAGTTCCTCCTGCAATCGAGCAGCGGCAGCAGGGGGCAGGCCCAGCTGACAGTCATCTGATCTTGGCAGCTGTGCACCAACTTTGACCCAGTTCCTGTCCAGCGTCTCTTTCAGGCTCCCCATGAACCCCGGTCCTTAGTCGGCTCCCGAACTGCAGCAACACACCACACAAATGCACACAGTGATGCCTCCCTTTCCTGGAAGACTCTTTATATCCTTTTCCTGCACATTCTCCCTCCAGTCCAAACATAAGCAAGTTGCACAGCCTAACTGTGAATCTTTGCTTTATTACAGAATCTGCAGCACAAAAGCACTGGCTTGGTATTTCCTCTGCCCCACAGGGATTTTTATGGGGTTTTTATTTGGTCTCGTTTTTGCCATGCTTCTGAGAATGATTCTTTTGTTGTTCCTTCACTCCTTCGCTTGGATCCTCCAAGGCATTCCGCTCAGAAAATCACACAGCTGCTGCCCCGACTCCAAATAAAAGGAGCTGAGAAAAATCCCCATTTTCCTACGGATTTTCAAGCCAGAAAGCAACGGGCTCTCTGGACAGATACCACTCCTCCCCCAGCCTATGCCCCTCCCTGCCAGGCAGGGGAAGCAGAGGCTACGGGGGAGGGCCCACTGCACCCTAGGACTTGGGACTAGCTCTCAGCACCAGGGTGGTGGGCTCCATTGTATGTCTCCCAGGACACGGACCCCTTCCTCTGGAAAGTTCTCCCTCCCCAGCACAAATCAGAGCCCAGATGTGAGCAGCCATCAGTTCAGATGAATGGGTAACAAGAGCTAATGACAGTCACCTGGCCCCGGTGAAAGCTATGAAGGCCTCTCTGTCCCTCTCTGGCGGAAGTCATGAGGCACAGTGAGCAAAAGCTGCCATCGTCCACATTACCTGCCATGGAGAGGAAGCTTAGCAAAGAGATTTAGATCAGTATTCGGAGGAAGTTGGAGCGTGAGAAAAGAGAGAGCTTGCGGCAGTGTTGGGTCCCAGTTGCAGGTATCCGGGGTCACACAAAGTCTTCTTTTAAAACCCTTACCTGGGCTGGGCTTGGTGGATCATGTCTATAATCCCAGCATTTTAGGAGGCTGAGGTGGGCGGATCACGAGGTCAGGAGTTCGAGACTAGCCTGGCCAATATAGTAAAACCCCATCTCTACTAAAAATACAAAAATTAGCTGGGCATGGTGGCGCGTGCCTGTAATCCCAGCTACTCGGGAGGCTAAGGCAGGAGAATTGCTTGAACCCAGCAGGCGGAGGTTGCAGTGAGCCGAGAACGCACCATTGCACTCCAGCCTGGGTAACAAAAGTGAAACTCCGTCTGAAAAAAAAAAAAAAAACGCAAGCTGGGCTGGGCGTGCTGGCTCATACCTGTAATCCCAGCATTTTAGGAGGCTGAGGTGGGCAGATCACGAGGTCAGGAGTTTGAGACCAGCCTGGCCAATATGGTGAAACCCGGTCTCTACTAAAAATACAAAAATTAGCTGGTTGTGGTGGCAGGCTCCTGTAATCCTAGCCACTTGGAAGGCTGAGGCAGGAGAATCACTCGAACCCAGGAGGCGGAGGTTGCAGTGAGCCACGATTGCACCACTGCACTCCAGCCTGGGCAACAGAGCAAGACTCCATCTCAAAAAACAAACAAAAGAAAACAAAAAGCCCCAGCTGGTTTGACTTGCATTTCTCTCTCTCAAGTGACCAGTAGAGTCCTCACTGAATATGGCAGTGACCGGATGCGGGTCATCTGCCTGAACTAGAACTGCGGAGCTCTGCTCTACCCAAGGAAATGGGAGGCGATGAAGGGAGAAAAGAGGAAATGGGAGAGAACGGACAGGAAGAAGAGACCACTGTCCAAGGTGAAGGAGGCCATCGGAACACAGGACACCTGCAGCGGTTTCGCAGCGGGCTTCCAACTCTTTATAAGTCTGCGCTCCACTCTCAGGGTTAGACAGTCTTAGGCACAAGCAATTATCTGAAGAATTGGAGTGTCTTAGAACAGGTTTTAGGTGTCAGCAGTGATGGCTTTCAGACAGCACACTAGCAACAGATCCTTGGAAAACTCATGCTCTGGAATAAAAAGCCAATCCTGATTTTCACTTCAGAATGTCTCAGCCCCCCACCTGAGCCTCTCCTATTATATCATTGGCTAAATGGACAAATGGACAAGAAAACTACCTCCTCCTTCAACTGCCTCCTCCATCAGTCTAGCACCTGCCTAGGTGGAACCCCTCAGAACTATGCTGCTCCCCAAATGCAATTCCCAAAGAGAAGGGAGCCCTTAAGGTGGGCACAGGTCCAGGAGTTGTCTCAGCCCTCCATGTCGCTGGCCTCTCTCCGCTGAAACCACAGGAAGGCCTCAGATCAGAAGGGCTGCCCCAGCCTGGAGCAAGGTCATAGGATCTAGCGGAACCCCCTCACTCATCTAAAGGGGTCAAGGCACGGCCAGCAGCTACAAGGGGCAGAGCCTCAAGTTTGACTCCAAGTTCAAAGAATCTAGCTAAAGCCACACTGTGCCCCCTGGCACCACCCTCAGAAACAGATCCAATCCTGAGTCAGAGAGGAAGCAGACACTCACTGAATCACCCATCCACTTCCTCCTACCCACAGCCGCTCAGCCAAGACCAGCAGCCGCTTCCAAGGGACAAATTAGTGACTGACACTCGGAAAAGCTGACGCTCTAAAAGGAGAGCAAGCAGGGCGCCACGCACGCGGTGTGAACCACCAGGACCGAGTTTACCGTGGCTCCCCACCCGCTGCATTTTTCAGAGTAAAGCTGCACATTTTGTAACAGCCCCTATCCTGTCCTGCACTGACCTTGGCTGTGTTCTTTTTCACTTCCCTGTTCCGAACACAGCCACACTTTCCAAATGCCATGAATCATCACCACCGAGCAACGGCCATTTAGCAAGGCAGGAAACCACTGCCCTGGAAGGAGCAGCTCCCTGCAGTGGGCCTCTCCCACCCTGGCTGGTCCTCGTGGCAAGAGTCCACCACGGAAGCCGGCAGGGCAGAGTTGCCACTCTGTGTTCTCAATATCTCCACCCTCGTCCCTGGGGGCTTCAGTTTCCCCCTTGCACTAGGTCACAGGCAGCATTAGGCATCTTCTGACTTCTCTGAAGGCTCTCTTGGGTTGCACTGGCTGAAATGAAGTTGTCACCTTCCAAACCTGGAAGGGAGAGAAATTCTTGGTGACATTGGCTGAAGTGAAGCTGTCATCTTCCTATCCCAGGAAGGAAAGAAATGGGCAGACCCATTCAAGACCAAGGGAGGGGAGGCACCATGACTCATGCCTGTAACCCTAGCACTTTGGGACACCAAGGTAGGCAGATCATCGGTTGAGTCCAGGAGTTCAAGACCAGCCTGGGCAACATGGTGAAACCTCGCCTCTACTAAAAATACAAAAATTAGCTGGATGTGGTAGTGCATGACTGTAGTCCCAACTAATTGGAGGGGGCTGAAGCAAGAGGATTCCTTGAGCCAGGGAGGTCAGATAGATTCAATCAGGTGGATCTTGCACAGGACAGAACCATCAACAAGACATTGGAAATGTATTCTTCCTGCAAGTGGCCTTGCAGTTAGAGGAAAATGTCATCCTGTCATCCTTTATGACTAGAGCCTGGCTTCTAGAAGCCATTCAGTCCGTTCCTCATAGTCACCATTGAGTCCATAAATCAATCAATCAGCAAAATATTATTACCCTCCAAGAGTTATCAAACTTCTGCGCTGGGCACCTGGCTCCATGGCTCTCTGCATATGTCTTCCTTCATGCCAGTCTTAATTCCTCATGTAGTAATGAAATCCTCATATGAAGTCATTATTTTTGCCCCTATTTAACCATAAACAGTACCATTCAAAGGTAAAATGATCTAGGAAAGGCAAATCAATACAGCAATAAAACATCAGTTTTAACCTATCAGATTGGCCAAAACTTTCAATATTGGCAATGGCTAGTGTTGGCCAGAGAGTGTGGAAATGGGCACTCTCCTTATTGTGGGCAGATGTTTAGTGTGATATATTCTCTGGAGGAAATTTGACCCTTCACATTACAATTATTCATGAGTACCTTTTGTCTTATTAATTTTAAAACTAGGAATTTATTCTCAGCTGAGCCACCAGAAAAAAATGCACAGATAATCATCACAGTGTGGCAAATAAATCCAAAAACTAAATAAAGCGGAAACAATCTAGATGTGATTGAGTCAGTGACTTACAGTATATTTAATCAAATACCACGCAACCATTAAATATAATGTTGGAAATCTACATCCAACACCATAGGAAGATATTCACATGGATCGTTTTGATCGATGAAAAGTAGGAGCTGCTATAACATGTGTAGCCCATGTATGTAAAAATGTTATTGTGAGTGTGTGTTCATAAAAGAGACACCTAGAGATTTATCAAACCATTGACAGCAGTCACCTCTGCAGAGCGGGATCTGGGGGTGATTTTTACTTTCTTCACATTTTCTGTATTTCTTAAAATTGCCTATAATACATATGAAGCATACTTATGATCAGAAAATATACACACACAGGCTGGGTACTGTGGCTCATGCCTATAATCCCAGCACTCTGGGAGGCCAAGGTGGGTGGATCACCTGAGGTCAAGAGTTCGAGACCAGCCTGACCAATATGGTAAAAATTTGTTTCTAAAAACTACAAAACTTAGCTGGGCCTTAGTAATGGAAAGCGCCTGTAATCCAAGCTACTCAGGAGGGTGAGGCAGGAAAATCACTTGAACTAGGGAGGCAGAGGTTGCAGTGAGCCGAGATCGCCCCACTGCACTCCAACCTGGGTGACAGATTGAGACTCCACCTCAAAAAAAATTTAAAAAAAAAGAAAGTATGAATACATTTATTCTCATTTTAAAACGAAAAGCAACACAAATTCAACAGCTGTTTGACGAACAGATCATATCCGTGCAAGTTGTTTTACAGGTTTTTCCGATGGAAGGCGTTACTGTGGACATTCCACCAGAAGGTGGTGGGCTCTGTTTTTCCAGAGCTCTGATGGCCTGAACTATGTTCACTCTCTCACACGTCCCCCATGTGGCGACCAGGATGGCTGACCAGGGTGAAGGCAGGGGCATGGCAGAGTTTTCTCCAACAGATGCCAAGTATCCAGTGTGGTAATCAAATCCCAGCTTGGAATTAACTAAATTAACTGCCACAGACCTCTCTGGGTGGCCAAACAAATTCAGAAGTTTTGAAAATAAATAAATCACAACCCCTCTCTCTTTTCAGCTCCAGAAATAAACTCCAGACCCATGGAGATCACAGAAACTTAAAGCCAGAAAGATTCTTAAGAAGTCATATATTTTAGACTCCTCATTTGACATTTGAGGGAACCAAGGCTCAGAGAAGTAAAGTGACTTACTCAACGTCACACAGCATAAGTGTGGCAGACACAAGACAACTTATGTCTCTTCATCTGTAATCCAAGGTTGCTTTTGCTGTACAGTGTTCAGGGGGCAGCGTTAGTGTGGACGATGTCCTTCATACCATCAGAAACGATTCCTGTGAGGGGTCCAGAATACACTACAATGGTCCCTGGCCCTGTGGAAGAGTCTAGTTAGAGTTATATGTGAGCCTTCTTAACCAGGAAGTAAGGCACTTTTCCAAAAGGGGATATAAAGAGAGCTTTCACTATATTTTCAAAGGGGTCCCATAACACAAGGAAAACTAAAAACGGATGAACTAAAGCATGGGTTAGCAGACTTTTTCTATAAAGATCCATGGAGTAAATATTTTGGGCTTTGCAGGCCACATGGTCTCTCTCCCAACTACTCAACTCTGCCCTTGTACTGTGAAAGCAGCCATTGATCAACTGTGAACAAATGGGCATGGCTGTGTTCCAATAAATCTTTATTTACAAAAACAAGCTGTGGGCCAGATCTGGCCCAGGCAATAGTTTGCCAACCCCAAAACCTGAGGATCTGATCAACTTCCTTTCCATTACATCAGATTCTGCTTGCTCTTGGCTGAACTAAATAATGTCCATATTCCCGGCAATGGATCCAGCCCTGAATCAGGGACCACCGAGGAAGTGGGGAGGCACATAAAAGGCATTCGTTTCACTTTTTCATTAAACAACAACTTCTTTGAATTCCTAATTAGAAACTTTCACACAA